TTTGTCTGTGACTCTGTGCGGATGGAGACGGCGCTCTCGGGCTAAGAGGAAGATGAGCATGTGAGGTGGAGAGTTCAGGTCGAGAAAACTTTGCAGTGCAGAATTAGTCACAAATTATTCATCACATTATTGGATGATTTATTGATGTGGCGTCCAGGAGAGGCCGAGGTGGAGGAGAGGGGAGTTTAAAACAGGGAGAGCTGTCCTTCAGCATGTTCCTGTGTTTATTATTCATACAAAAGGCCAGTGTGGATGGTGTGGAATATTTCTTCATCTTCTCGTCTTATAATCAGATCATTTTATTAACTATGTTTTATCTCAAATAACCTCTGCAGTGATCTGAAGGAGGAACACTGGTGAATTTAATACATGTGCTGCTGACCAGCTGAAGCAAACCACAGTCTGTAGCCTGTAGCCTTCTTGTGTCTCTTTGTGTCTCATTCTGTTTCCTCTGTGCAGACATTTTGTGTCTCTTTGTGGTGGCTTTGTGTCTCTTTGTGGTTGTTTTGTGTCTCTTTGTGGTTGTTTTGTGTCTCTTTGTGTCTCTTTGTGGTCACTTTGTGTCTCTTTGTGTCTCTTTGTGGTTGCTTTGTGTCTCTTTGTGGTTGTTTTGTGTCTCTCTGTGGTCGCTTTGTGTCTCTTTGTGTCTCTGTGGTCGTTTTGTGTCTCTTTGTGTCGCTTTGTGTCTCTTTGTGGTCGCTTTGTGTCTCTGTGGTCGTTCTGTGTCTCTTTGTGGTCGCTTTGTATCTCTTTGTGGTCGCTTTGTGTCTCTTTGTGGTCGCTTTGTGTCTCTTTTGGTCGCTTTGTGTCTCTTTGTGGTCGCTTTGTGTTTCTTTTGGTCGCTTTGTGTCTCTTTGTGGTCGCTTTGTGTCTCTTTGTGGTCATTTTGTGTCTCTTTGTGGTCACTTTGTGTCTCTTTTGGTAGCTTTGTGTCTCTTTGTGGTCGCTTTGTGTCTCTTTGTGGTCACTTTGTGTCTCTTTGTGGTCGCTTTGTGTCTCTTTGTGGTCACTTTGTGTCTCTTTTGGTAGCTTTGTGTCTCTTTGTGGTCGCTTTGTGTCTCTTTTGGTCGCTTTGTGTCTCTTTGTGGTCGCTTTGTGTTTCTTTGTGGTCGTTTTGTGTCTCTTTGTGGTCGCTTTGTGTCTCTTTTGGTCGCTTTGTGTCTCTTTTGGTCGCTTTGTGTTTCTTTGCAGTCGTTTGGGGTCTCTTTGTGGTCGTTTTTTTTTAATGTTTTCATTTTGTGTCTCTTTGTGTCCGATTTGTCTTTGTGGTCGCTTTGTGACTATTTGCAGTTTTACTGCGTCTCTTGTAGCAGTTTTGTATCTTGATGCATCCTTTGTGTCTTGTTGTGGTTGTTTTGTGTCTCTTTGTGGTCACTCTTAATCTCTTTGCAGTCTTTTTGTATCTCTTTATTGTAGTTTTGAGGCTTTTTGGAGTGTTTCTTGTCGTTGTTGCTGATTAGCAGTTGTTTTGATTCTGCTATTGGTTGTTTTGTGACTCTTTGTCATCTTTGCGACAGTAAGCATGCACGTTAAACAGAGGCTCCAGTGGCCCCTGATCCCTTGGACCTCATTCAGTAATCTATCCCTGATCACAGCAGACTGACCCCTGTTGTTGGTGACGTCACCGTTGACCTGGAAACATCCGCTGTAGTCGGCGTTGTGTGATACGCTGGGAACAAGGTGAGCTGTGTGTGGAAATGTTCCTTTAACATGAGGAGGACTTTGCGTGGGATGAAGCACGCAGGGACACACGGCTGATTAAGCTTTCTGAGCGTGCAGCTGCACTCTCAGGGCTCCTCCGTCCATTAGGCTCTGAGGAGTTAAATCAGGCGTACGTCCCCACTGCTCTGCTCACCTTGCATTAAAACAACACTGGACACTAACAGACCTCAGGAATATGCAGAGCTGCATGAAACTTCATTTAGCTTTACACTCACTGTACAGAGAAGAAGACCAGGAATGACTCGTGAGTTAGTCAGAGCACACCTGCTTATCTTGGTGGTGAATATCTGCTCCGAGCAGAATGGCATTTCCATAATGGTTATGTGGAGGCACAAAGCGCTCTGTGGAGGTTAAATGGTTAAATATTTAAAAAGTCAACTACGACTTGAAGCGCGAGACGTGACGCGATTATCAACACATGATGTTAAAGGGATAGAATCTCCCAATAATTATTTTATTAGCTTAGTATTGTATTCACAATAAAAGGGGATGTTTATATGTTGCACTTGAGGCTGCCCTACACATTACTGTAAGCCCAGTTCATTATGCACCTCAAGACTGTAAAGCCAAACCCTGTTCTGTTACCACGTGTGTGTGTTGTTGAAGGAAAAAAACATCAGTTGGTGGTGTTGTACCGACTTAATGCTTTTATTTTGAAAGAGACTGTATGCAAACTGTATATTTCCTGTGAAAACAGAAGTGTATTTTGAAAACAGACAAAGCATGTACAGTGTTTCCCACAGGATTTTGGGAAACTATGTGTTTTAGCGCACCTTCAGCGAAGTCTTTTGGCACGAAACTGTCACTGCGCCAAGCTGGATCTGTCGACACCTCCCCCTGCTGCGCCACCACACCCATCTCAGCGCACCTCGGTCTGCCAAACTACCAAACTGAGCGCGCCTCAGGTTGCGCTGCTCGAAACTAGCTCTGCGCTGGGTTCGCCACCCTGCGCTGCACCGGGAAACTAGAGCCCTTTGACTTATTTCCACCCTGCTGACAGTGGGACTTATATTCATTGTGCCGACAGTTGCTTGGAAAACCGCCCATAACCGTGTCACACGGGGAAGAGGGAAGAGGGAAGAGGGAAGGCGGCTGGAGTTCCTCCAACATTTGCGGTTACATTATCATATATTTTTATTGACAAAAATATAGGCTGCTTCAGCTGATTTTTTTTTTTATGCGCACATGTGCCCCTAAATATTTTTTACAGTTCGCACACACGTATTTTTAGTCGAGTGAAAAGCTCTCACTGTCAAGCGCTGGATCTGACAGCCTGAGCACATCGGCACAAAACGCTACGGCGTTCGAGATATTATTTATATCATGAGAAGTTAATACTTTCGGCAGCCTAAATCTTTTATTTAGAAACTATGGCGGGTCAAATTAAACTATGGCGGGCCGCCATAGTTTCGTTAATTAATGGGAAACACTGCATGTAACAGGCTGAAGTTGACACGGCGTCCCAGAACGTCAACAACCAACACACCCAGGGTACCTTGGACGTCATATGTGGACGTGGAAAGTCCATGACCAAACGTGGACATGTGACGAGGTCACAGTGAGGATGATGATGATGAGTCTGTACATTGTTTTATAGGGAAATCCTGCAGAGTATATCTGTAACAACACAGTGCTGCTTGAGCAGTTTAGATTTTTCTGTTGTTTTACTGATTTTCTTATTTTATCATCAGCAGTTTTTCTATATGAAATGTGAGGTTTATGTTCATCAACATGTACCGTGTACTTGTTTTTAGCCAGCTGTGTGAGCAGCCAGCAGACTACGTGAAACATGAAATCAGAGTACGTGCAAAAGTAAGTGAACCACAGCTGCAATAGTAAAGTCAAGTAGGTAAGTCAGATGAAACACATGTGGGTGCTCAGGTATTTAATGAAGCAGAACAATCAATGAGACGTCCTTAGGAAAGGTTTTGAGCAGCCCTGATTAAAAGAGAGAGAGGAAACCAACCAAACCACTGTCGTGCCAAGGCGTAAAGCACACACATCAACAAGGCTGAGAGGAAAGGAGACATCCGAGGACATCAGGAAGACGGTGGTGTCTGAGGAAAGCTACAAGACCATCTCCAAAACATTCCAGCTCCTTCCATCCACTGTAAGACAAATCATTTACAAATGGAGGGCGCTCAGCATGAGTGCAGCTCTGCCCAGAAGTGGACGGCCATCAAAACTTTCACCAAGAAGCATCAGAAAAATAATAGTGCTGTATTCTCCTGGTCGACTGGTCAATTATTTGGTCGCTATGCTCTCGTCCGACCAAATTCTCATTGGTTGAATAATCGCTGTGTTACTTTCATAAGGAGAAAAGTGCTACATCAACAGCTTTCCAGGATTAATCCATTATTTCCTGCGGTGGGGGGGACAGGCTAAGTTACCTGTGAAAATGTGGGTGTTTTCAAAACACCCCCGTTGTTGTCAGAAAGTTGAACTTGCCCACCCTCACGCTCAGCGTCACAGTGACGCAGACCTCCTGTCTGTCTTTTACACACTTGCGCATTTTTTGACCGGAAATACGTAGATGACATGTAAAGCAACTTCCGCTTTCTATGGAGAATGGCGGAAGCAAGAAACAAAAGTTTCTGCAGTGTACCGGGCTGTTCTTGCTCTGCCCAAAAACAGCCGTATCTTTCTTTTCATTCTGTCCCGGTTGACAGCGATGTTAGAAACAAATGGAGTCAGGCGATCCGGTGGGAGGAAGGTCCGAATTTCGTCATTAAGAAGGGGAGCACGTATGTCTGTAGCAGACACTTCATGTCTGAGGATTACATCTTGGGCTGCAGTGTTAGTCGCTTAATACCCGGGGCTGTTCCCAGTCTTTTCCCTTGGAACAACTTTACTCATCCGAAAAGAGAGTCTGTTTACGAGAGATCCAACAAGCGGCTGTCTGTGCTGTCTTTGACGGCCCAGAACAACGAAATAGCGACGAAGGTGGCGAAACTCGACCACGACTATGCAACGCCGCCCCCACCAGGTGAAAGATTCTACCTCGAGTATGCCAGAATGTGTTATGTTGTGCTGTGTGATGTTGTGTGGTGTTGTGTTAAACTTGATTACAGACTCAGGTCCATATACAAGACACATAGTACAAAACCAGACAACACAATACCTGTGATAAAAGATGATGACAGCTAAAAGTTCATATTTAATAACAATCATCATAACAGATTATTAGATGACATTACAGCTACTGAATACTTAGGTATTATCTCACTGTATGAATGAAGGGCTGAATTAGTTTCTGTCTTTCTTTTCAATCACTTTAGGTGTTCGTGATGAGGCAGTGGGTTATATCCAGGACTTGGAAGCCAAGCTGAAGGAGGTAGCCTTACCATCCCCTGCCCTCTTCAGCCGATATTGTGCGTCCGACGACCAGATACGATTTTACACAAAATTTCCATCTGAACGTGTGTTTAAGATCTTCTGGGAGTCCATTGCACCATCTGCTTCCTGATTGGCCTACTGGAGCAAGGCAAAGAGGATAGGTCAATCAGACATCACACCCAGCCCCTCTCGTAGGATGCCATTAATCGATGAGTTTCTAATGTACTCTATGCGAGTAGCGGTTGGGATGAAAGAGCAGCTCATTGCTGACATGTTTGAGGTCAGTGTAGCCACCGTGAGTCGAGTCACCATCACCTGGGCCAACTGTCTCTTCCTGATGCTGGGGTCACTTTCTCTCTGGGTGCGCATGGACAAGGTGAAGTCTGTCATGCCAGCAAAATTTAAGATGCACTGTCCCAATGTCTGTGTGATACTGGACTGCACTGTAATTGCTGTGGCGACTGCCTCTTCACTAACATTGCAATCAGAAATGTTCTTCCACTACAAAATCAGGACGACCTTGAAGGGACTGATCGGAGTCGCTCCCAATGGTTTGGTAACGTTTTTCTTGCTCCTGTACACTGGAAGCATCTCTGACAAGGAGATTACAAAGATCAGTGGAATCCTTCCCTTACTTGAGCCAGGTAACGAAGTGATGGCTGACAAAGGCTTTCTCATTGAAGATCTACTTTCTAATGTTGGAGCAAAACTCATCATTCCACCCTTCAAGCGTTCAGCTCAATTTACAAGAGAGGAAACCGAGAAAACACAAGCCATCGCCCGTCTCAGGATAGTAGTTGAGTGGGTAATAGGCAGAGTTAAGTCCAACCACATCTGGGACTCATCTGCACCTCTCACTCTGATGGGCACTGTCAACCAGATCTGGCACAACTGTTGTGTTATTGTTAATTTTCAAGGACCTTTGTCCTATGAAGAATAAGTTGCTGAGAGGATCAACAGCCCCAGCAACCTACAAAAATTATACATTTGAATGTATTTATGAGCATTTTTTCAAAGATGTACATGTTGTATATTTTTATATATAAATTTTGTGGTTCAGTGTAACAGAAATGAGCAATAATCCAACAGAAAGTAACACTTCATGTAATATAAATGTATTTACCTGTAATTATTTAATCAGAATGTGTGAAAATAAACCTTCAGATGAGATGATTTGTCAATTAATTAATTGGTGAATAGGTTGCTGAGAGGATCAACAGCAAATGATAAATTTGAATGTGAACATATTGACTAAGTAGTTTTGAGCATTTTTTTTCAAAGATGTACATGTTGTGTATTTTTATATATAAATGTTGTGGTTCAGTGTAACAGAAATGAAATCTAACACAAAGTAACCTGTAATTATTTCATCAGAATGTGTGAAATTTTACCTTCTGATAAGATGCTTTGTCAGTAAATTAATTGGTGCCCAGATCAGTACTGTTATGCATGTCAGTTATGTTACCTCATAATAAATTATAATGGTCAACTTACTTTGAATCCTTTACTTTCCTTGATATGAACCAACAACAACTGATTAAACAACTGATTTATTGAATCAATTCACCACATTTCACAGTCAGTAGGTAAGTGGGAGCATCATCATTTTGGGCCTTGTGTGCCATGAGCAAGGTGTTATGCTGTAGACAGGTAGATGAACATGAACTGATTCGATAAACATCAACTTTTTGATTTTATACTGTGCAAAGATGAAAATCAACTAATTAATTAGTTAATATGTAAAATATAAAATGAGTAAAAACAAAAGATTAATTAAAATTATTCACAGTAAATGACATCAGACATCTATTGAGAGTCCTAAACATTTCAGTGTGATTCCAAGTAAACATTCATGTATGTGTTGTAGTAGATAAGGTCTAATTTGTCCTTCATTTTGATTATGAATGAATCATCTCGCCAAATTCTTTCAAGACACAAACTTATCTGTGTGTCTGTGACAAAGTCACACCACTCCAGGCCGGTTACTGCTAACTGTCCCTGAACCTGCCAGTAGTAACGGTGTGAACGCCTCAGGCTGACAGAGCCATTTTCCCTCTTAAGGTGAGCAACCTGCAAAGCATCGTGTTTAGTGGTGCTCTTCACTTCAACAAGTACAAATGGTGGTGACTCTGAAGGATCATACACCCTACCATCTGGACTTGCCCCGAGATGTGGTGCTTCTGGGTGAATGACAAATCCAGCAGGGAGCACATTAACTCACATTACTTCAGCATAACTTGCCAGGACCTCTGACTCCATTAGGAGACCCTGGTTCATTGCAGCAGTTTGCTTTTTGGAGCCTCTCATCTTTTGGACAGCGAGGGCCTTTGCTGCAGACTCTGGGTCCACACTTCCCTCCCTGGAAGAGCAGGCCTCTCGAAAGCGACTGGCAGTTAACCGTGGTCGACGTAACTGTGCCCATGCAGGACATTTTGACTGCTGCCTGGTTCCCTTCTCAATTTCACTGGTCATTTGTGGTGACACTTGGAGTGACTGGAGGTGCATGAGCTGATGCAACGTTGGAACAAAGTGCAAGTTGGAAAAAGTATGCTGCATAAAAGGAAGACCCGGGAATTTAGGAGCCAAGTGGTGCAGGATAAGGTCACTGGACTTTTCAGGTGGGCAGTGATATGACAGCGGGGATCCTTGTGGGACAGGCCCAAATTTAGATGGAGTCAGCTCTATCTCAGACATGCCATCTAATACGAGAGCAATGAGAGGCTGGGGTTGCTCCTGGCGTAGCTTGGCTCCAGATGCCATCATATCAGGGTCAGGAAATGGTCCTAAAGAAGAAAAAAAGGGAGAGTTAGGCAAGTGCTCCTGTTGGCAAGTACTCAAATTTGCAGCCTGTCTAATCAACTGCTGCTTTAAACTTATATGTACTCTAATAACAACTCTCTTTCTGCTCCTGTTTAATGGCTTTGTAATAGAAGCTATTTTCTAACCATAATAATTGTTCTATGAAAGTTTTGTGGCACTGAAATGCTGCCATATAACATTTCACTAGGGGGTTGACAAATAGTAAGTCATAACCATTGAAATCAGCATCATAGTTTCAAAGCAACATTAAAATGACTATAAATTATCACCTGAATATGCCTGGTACAATGTGGAGCTAAGACCACTCTTGCCCACCTTCTTTGGCTTTTGCACCACCACGTCATTCACATGTTCAGGATGGATTCCCTTAAAATTTAGAATAAAATGTGATCACTTTTGCAGGATGTGCTATGACTGTGTGTGTGTGGATCAGTACTTAAACACCAGTCCTTAAATAATGTGAAAACAAAGTAAATACACAACATGATCATGAAAATAACGCTCTAAATGAAAATATTCTACTCTTGATTTCACTTATCTTACACCCACCTGTGTTCTTGGTCTATGCCAGCGTTGTAAATCACTTGTGCAGGCCAGGGGTGGTGGAACAGTCGGCAAACTGAGCTGTGAATAGTGTGCAGTCTGGTAAAGGAGGGCTACTACGTGGTTGCAGAAGCCTTTACCAGCTACGCAGCTGCAGGAATAAGCCATCAAACTTCCACTGTCAGTGGCCAATGATATCTACACACAACAAAAGATAATAATTATATATAATATCATAACATTGCATCACTGTCAACAGTAACATGAAGTAAAAGCCTATAGAGAGAGATGAAATAGAAGTATGGAAAGAGATGAAAGAAAAAGAGCTAAGTCAAGGCTGTGACTTTTGCTGGAGAATATATTTTGTCCCTCTCTAATCAAATAACATAAAACGCAGCACTCCTGGGGGCTAGCAAGGCCACACAAACAAACAAGAGTGTGTGTGAACTTTTCCACACTTCTAGCTGTGTAAGAACTTCGTAGAAAGAGCCGCAACTGCAGCAAGTGCACAGAAGTACTGCAACGGCAGCAAGAACAGTAGGAAGCAATAAGAACCTGGAGCTTATGCCAACTGGCAACTGGCACTCTCTATGGTCAAACCTCTAGTTTGTGAGGCTCCTCGTTCTTCTTCATGGATTTAAAGCATCTAGCCCTCACAAAAACCTGCCCATCTAGTACATTTGATACTATGATCACACACAAACACACACGTAAGGGAAAAATGTTAGCTACATTAGCATTCGGCTAATACTATTGTCGCTACGTAGAAGACGTTCACTTTGACAACCATCAACACAACAATCTGATGCCATATTGCTTCACTCAAAACAGAGTATGATGCTTTAGTATGGTCGGCTATATCCTCTTATACTTTATACTTTACATAAACTATGTCTTACAGTAGACGCGCTAATGATTTCTCATTGTAGCTAACAGTTCAACCGATATCTCTGTACTTACCTTGAAAACTGTGGACAAATTCCTCGTGGAAAAATTTGTAACCCTTGTTCAACTTGTTGCCTTTTGTGCTTGAATGTGCCTCCACACTTTTTATGACATCTGAAAAAGAAAACTTAGGTAAAACTTCTAAGTTTGTCGAGTAGACTCTGCCGGTGTTTCGGATTTACTCGCGACCCTGTTAACTGGGTCCTTCAGCCGAATGCGTCTGTGGTTGTCGTAGTTTCAACAGCTGTTTTCAACCAGGAAGAGAACACGCAGCTGTCCTCGCGAAGGCCTCTTTATTCAGTTTTTCATAACAATATCAAAACATAGCCGACCTGATCCGTCTTTGGACTCTTGTTGGAGGAACCCAGTCACGGACCGACACTCAGTCGCGGTTTGAATCACACTTGTTATGACGGAATGTTGAAAACAGGAAGAGGCCAAGTTGCTTTTCCTGTAAATCTAACTCCTATCTCGAATAAATTTTCTAAATAGGCCTACACAGTTTCGTCTCTGGTGCCTGCCTAAATAAACATGTGCCATATTAAAGAACCGTTCAGCCCTGTGAAACGTAAAAAAGAATATTTTCACGGGATTCGAACCCGCTTCATTATGGGAAAATAAATNATAAAAAAAAAAAAGTCGGCCGAAATTTTAAAAAAGCAAACGGAATTGTATAAGCGTTAACTACCATGACACAATAATAATAGTATTACACTCTATGACAACCTGGCAGCTAGCTCTGATGGAGACATATGAGCTCTAAGAACAAACTCACAATTATGGACGCACACTAAAAGAAATGTCGCCATGGTCCGAGAGAGGTGACGTCATGCTGTTATCTCTGTCTCTACAGGTACGCAGTGAGCGAGTTAGATCGTCACTTTTTAAACATGACAGGCTTTGTCAGTGTGCAGTGTTGTGCAGACTGTAATGTGGCACTGAATATGTTTGTAGACTCGTGGAAAAAGAACAAGAAACATTGATAAATATGTGTGGGTACTTTCAAGGCAAGCCGAGGGTAACCAGTTGTCTCAGGTCAGCCCAAATCAAAATGTTACCTGGATGCTGACGTAATTTACTAATACCTGTGGAAAGCTGTGCGCTCTGTGAGTCTCAGTGGCTCACACAGGTAGACATGCGGTTTGTGTTATATTGTCTTTTGTTGACGTGAAATCGAGTCCAGCTTGACGCAAATTTGTGTATATCATATTTCTTTCCTTTCTTTTTTTAATGTCGCTGGTACGTAGTGCTCACTGACAGAAGCATATTCGCTGTGGTAGATGTGGGCTGCGACTTTAAGATCGCCACTAATATGTTGTGTATGTTTGTGAATTTGTGACAAATCTGCTGACGGAGGCGAAGCACATCTGCAGCTGTTCGGTAAGGAAACCAGTTAAATTGGAAACCAGTAGGGACACAACACTGGTATTCATCTTTGTTTACTAGTGACTGGAAGTCACGTTACCCGCCGTCTACGTATTTCCGGTTAGTGTGTAAAAAGTCCATTTCCCTCAGTGGAAATAAAGCTTGTATTTACTGTATTTCACAGATAAGAAACAATAAATTGTGAAGACAATAAAGCCTCCACTAAAATAGCATTTTAAGTCGTGTGTGATTTATCCTGGTTTCATATGAGCAGAGGAAATCTCCGCTAGCTGCTAGGCTAATGTATACAATGTAAAATGCCGTAGGCTGGCGCTAATGACGTTAGCATGTTGTATTTGCTTGGAAAACGTGTTTAATATCAGACAGTTGTTTTGTCAGTGAACCTTGTGAGCTGTAATGGAGCCAAATTATGTGCCGTTACCTTTGTTACATGTTGCTGTTGTCCCTGGTTTTATATGAGAAGAGAAAAAGATCGCTAGCCGCTAGGCTAATTTATACAATGTAAAATGCCATAGACTTGTGCTAATAACGTTAGCATGTTGTATTTGTGGGGGAAATGTGTCCAGATAAAGACAAGTGTTTGTCTGTGAATGCTGCGAGTTATAGTGAAGCTGATTTGTGTTTGAAACTGTCTCTATGAAGCCATGTTTAATGTGTGTTTAATGTGTGTTTAATGTGTGTTTTGAATCAACTATATAAATAAAGTTTGATTTGAACTAAACTTTACAGCTCTTAACACAGTCCTCCACCGCCGACTAGTGTTTTGGAGGTGTAACTGCAGAGTGACACAGACACACCACCACACAAGTCAAAATAACGTGCAGATTTTTTCCCCACGACTAATCGATTAGATGAAGATTATGTGCGACTTTAGTCGACCCACACATCAGCTGCAGAGAGTTGCAGACCTCTCTGGCAGCATCTGGGATAAATGTACCTGCATCTACAATCAGGTGAAAAATGAATAGACATGTCTATTCATGGGAGAGATGATGCTAGAAGGACGCCTCTGCTCTCAAGAAAGAATAAGGTTGTTTTTTTTAGAAAGCAATAACCATGTTCAGAGGGTTCACAAACTTTCCAGCAGCACTGTGTGTTGACCTGAATGAGATCATCACTTGTTTCTGAATGTAAAACCTTCAGCTGTCAGATACATGTCATCCAGAAGGGCTTTTAAACACTTAATTCAGCTCAAGGAGGAGGAGAATTTTCTCCATACACAAAGCAACACTTCATCCTTCAGTTTGTCTCAAACATTCAACATCAGCACATCTGGAGATACGTGGTTTTCACTGGACAGGAAGCAACTAAAGCTGTCAGTCAAATGTGGTGCAGTAAAGAGTACAGTAGCTCCCTGTGAGACGGAGGAGAAGTTTGAAGCTGCAGAAAATGGAAACACTCAGGTGCCACGTGCGTGTGGTGTCTCTGCAACACCTCAACATGATGCAAATAAGAAGCAAAGCAAAGCAGGAAACAGCTTGACAAACCCTCTGCTGACAACAAGGGAAAAGATGCTGAATTTGTTTAGCTTCAGCCTGACAAGCTCTTTTCTTGGAGAGCAAACATGTTTTTCCTCAAACTGTTTGGATGAAAGCGGATTTCACTAAACTTTTTGGCCCATATTGAAACAAACTTCCTGAACAGAGGAGCAGCAGGTGATCCAAAAAAACCTGAGGAGATATACAGGGAGAGTGGGGTTGTTTATTATTAAAAAGATCATCTGCTGTTCTCAAAGACTTCCTCCTCTCCTCCATCTTTCTTTAGCCTGTTTGCTTTTTCAGTCTCAACTTCCTGTTTGCATATTTAAGACACATTTAACATCCTCTCACATGTGGCATCGTGTTTTAGTACAGACTCGTTAAAGGAATACTCCCACGATTTGGGAGTTATGCTCGTTCTCTATCATTTTCATATTGAGACAACATGATCTACATCTTTTTTTGTGTCTGTTCGTCCAGTGGCTGGATCTCAGCGGTTAGCATTGCGGCTTAGCTTAGCAAAACACACTATAGTTCCGTGTATCAAACTTGCTGAATTTAAATGTTGAATTCTTTTAAGCTCTTTCAGGCCTCACACAGAGAGAACCTCCTCAGAACAAACTCTCCTCATAGTTTTCAGCTCAAACTTTGAGACTTGTGGTGCCTGAGCTTTCTGCACTGCTCAGTCAGTCCTGCTCGCTCACGGCTTCCTCTGGTCAGATATTTCAAGCCAAGGACGGAGATGTTAGTCAGTCGATGCGTCTGTCCACCACTTTGTTCATACATAAAATACTGCAACAACTGACCTATGGCTAAGCCCCGCCCTCAAACGCGATGAGCCAATCACAGTGCGTATAGCCATTCCCATACACTGGGACATTCTCTGCCTGGACGTCCATTGAAATGCATTACAGAAAGTCAGTTTGTTCGGTTTTATGAGCTTTTTCTGAGATTTGAAGTTTAAAAATGGTCAAACGGTGTGCATGGGGTACATGCAACTCTGACACAAGGTATCCTGAGAGGCTGGGCGACCACGTGTATTTTTACACTTTAAACCACATCTCAATCGAGAAAAGTGTCTCCTTTGGATAAAGTTGTGTGGTAACGTTAGACCACAACATCAACTCAACGTGAATAAGATTAACAATGATGTCTACATCTGTTCTAAGGTAAGTCAACATTGTGTTTGAGGCAACATATTGTCACTTTGCTGGAAAGAAATAAAGTTATCTTTAACATCTCTAGCTAACGTTAGCTAAAGTTAGCCTAACGTTAGCTCCTAGCTGCGTTGTTCATCATGTCACCTTGTTTGCTGGGAGTTCATTAGCCTATTTTGTTCTAGTTTTGTACTTTGGTGATCGTACATCATTGTTAGCTGTTGTCCAAAGGGCTCTAGTTAAGCTAACGTTAACTTCTGGAGCTTAGCTTCATTAACTTATCTGTAATGGCAGAGATAACAAAGGTTGGCAAACGTTATGCTGAATGATTCAGTGTAAATACTGTAGCACCAAACTAACGGAGAGACACTCTTGGTAAAGATGGTAAAAAGGCCGTTATCCTTTTCTCATATTCTGAGCCAAAAACCTTAACTTCAGTGGCACTTTAACTTGTTGTCTTTGATGGTGACGGCAACCAGATGCGGTTCACAAGCGTACACTGTGACCTGTAAATTTTGGCTTGTAATTTAAGCTTTTCATCGACCTTCTCAACAATAAAATGATGAATATATCCCTCCAATGCGTAGTTTAGGCCCTTTTGGTTACTTCTCAATGACATCTGATCTTTATGTCTCCAAAAATCATCAATTGCCTCCTGTGAAATGCCGTGTACTGTGACACCTGCCATAGCGCCGCTCACTGAATGTTGATAGTTTGTCCAGTGAGTGGAGGTGGCGTGGCTTAGCCATAGGTCAATTATTGGATGGACTGTGATGACATGTGGTTCATACTTCGTGGCCAGCCAAGTTGCCAAGAAAATGTTGGCATTGTACATTTCTGTAAATCACAGATCTGTTACATTTGAATGTTTCATACGTGACATATCAACGTTTTTAAATACGTACTTCAGATTACACACATGTGAGCTGACTTGGTCATTTGGAGGCGACAGACATGAGACATCTGCCAAGCTGCAGACCACAGTTCAAAACAAACACCGGCAGGTTTTTAGTGACCCGTTGCTTCCTTACCGGCGGCATTTGTGCCAAAAAACATGTCTTTTTTTTTAGCAACCTACAGTTGTGTTTCGAGTTGTTTGTGCCACCAAACATGGATGTTTTTTGGCGACCTGTGGATGCATTTTCACCTGTGTTTGTGTTTTTATAACAACCCGTGGCTCATTTACAGCTACGTTTGTGCCACAAAATATGGGTGGCTTTGTGACTTTGTGCTGCTGCACATACATGAACTAAAGTAGCGTATCTGTATTTAGACCGACCACTGTACCTGGTCTTTGAATAAAGCCTCATATTTTGCACAGAAAAAATTAAACAAATTAAAACTGTCTTATTTCTGATTCACTTTTAATGTCTAAATTACAGATGAACATTATCCTGGGCTCACGTAGAGAAGGAGCAGGGATACAGTACGGGGGATACTGGGAAATAAAAGATACCTGAAAGCTTCTTTATCATCATGAGTGTAAAAATGTCTTTTTCAGGGCTCTCTGCGTCTCTCCCTTCAGGTGCTGCTGTGCTGTGATGATTTGTTCAGTCAGCAGTGAGTCAGATTTATCTTGTCAATCT